AACTTCATTCTCCTCAGTGGCGTGTAAAAGGTCGAACTGAATCAAAAATTGGCGATAAAAAAATGGGAAAAACTCACCTTCCTAAATACGAGGAATACACCAGCGCTCCAAAATCCTGACCATAATATTATCATCAACAATCCTAAAAGATTCACCTGAAAAACTTACAAACTTATTCGAGGGAAGTCACCTGAAGATTACCCCTAGTTGCGTCCCGACGTTTACCGAAGGCTCGTAGTTGTTCGGCCCGATACGAGAGATTCCTGCTGGTCCGAAAACACTGAAAAAACGGAATAATTGCGATGATGAAAAATTATGGTACTCACCTGAAGCCACTGCCGTTATCAAACAGCACACACGCTATAGTCCCCCAAATTCCACTCATACCGTGCACAGCAAACGCATCAATGGGATCGTCGATGTGTCGTGATGCAACGACTCGGGAAGCAGTTTGGTAACTGAGAAAAAAAAGTTTAGGAAAATTTATGATCTGGGAAATTTTCTTACAGACACCCTCCTATGATGCCGATGATTAACGCGCTGAATGATGATACGTTAGCCGACCCAGCAGTGATGGAAACCTGACTTGACTATTGGAGTTTCACGGCCAGCCGTGATATACATACTGATGCATATCACCGCGAATAGAATCGCCTTTTTCACAGAGTATTAGGCCACTTCACGTGAAACGGGGCGTGAAACTCCAGTGTTGGAGGAATGAAAGTTTCGATAGTTTCCTCACTGATAGTACAAGTTCGCATACGAATTCAGGTAGAAATGTACACGAATCCATGAGAATTTTCCGGATTGTACACCAACGTATGTGCATATTTTCCCCCCGCACACTGATTTTGAAATTCCCACTTCGGCCGAGAGAAGAATCTTCTTACCAACCCAGCAAGGCAACCGTTGCATACACCGGCGACGTCATACATGTTGAAGAAAACGAGACGGATCACGAATAGGGTGAATCCACCTGAAAGAAAGATATGTTTGCTTTCCTCAGCTGAGCTCGGGAGTTCCTTCACTAATTGCAGAAATTATGGTAGAAATGTTCAGAAAGCAACAATAATTTCCCCAACACTGTAGAGGTGATTGTCTCACAAATATCTGTCTTTAATTTAGTAAACATTGAATTTGTCAATGATATTATACAAAAAATAAATATTACTACGTCGATCTCACCATAATGCTAGACCACATCCACATAAGGTCTCGCTATCTACGTTTTTTATAAACTACTTTTTTCCACAACAACAATCCTCAAACTCGAATCATCTCACTATGCACACGCAGTGGAGTCCTGCTGTATTACTTATCCTTATCGCGATCGTGTTATACGT